GGCGGCCTGCTGCCGCCGCGCACCCCCCGCTCCGGGCCCGCCCAGGGCCTCCGAGGCGACCCTCGGGGCTCTGCGACGGGGCCGGTGCGCGGCGAAGCTCCGCGCTCCGTCACGGCTCAGTACGGGTGTTTCTCTCCCTCAGGGTGGCAAATTCCATTCGAAGAGTGTTCATCGCGGAAGTCCCCATCATAGGTACCACCTTTCGCGGGTCTGTGGTCACCCTCCCCGCTGCTCTCAGCAGTGCCCCTCCACTTTCCCCTCCCTCAGCTCGCCTTCCCCCTGTCCAGCCGGTTCTCTGTATTCCCAGTTATCATAGAATCGTAGAATGGTTTAGGCTGGAAAGGACCTTGAAGATCATCGAGTTCCACCCCCCTGCCATAGACAGGGACACCTCCCACCAGCCCAGGTTGCCCAAGGCCACGTCCAGCCTGGCCTTGAACACCTCCAGGGATGGGGCCTCAACAACCTCTCTGGGCAACCTGTTCCAGTGCTTTACCACGCTTACAGTGAAAACCTTCTTCCTAATGTTTAATCTAAACCTGCTCTCTTCCAGTTTAAAGCCATTCCCCCTCGTCCTATCGCTACATGCCCTAGTAAAAAGTCCTTCCCCAGCTCTCCTGTAGGTCCCCTTTAGGTACTGGAAGGCCGCAATAAGATCTCCCCGGAGCCTTCTGTGTAGAGAGAAAGTTCTGTGTATTCTCAGCTTCACTAGAGTCTCTGTAATGTTTGCTGTGTCCTCGTGAGCTGCTCGGCTTTTCCCCACAGAAACATTTCACAGCTTGTGACTTTCTCCTCTCTCTGCAGCCATCGACTGGGTCCAGATAGACGCCAACTCCTCTGTGCTCCATGATGAATTCATTGCGCACAGGCTGGGTGAGTGCCAGCTGTGGGGAGGAGGATGAAGATGTGCAGTAAGAAATCAGTCTGAAGATGCTGAAGTAGCTTTGTCAGGAGGCTGCTGCCCCTCCCCCTGTCTCAGCAGGAGGGTCGGTGCTCCCATGGTCTCACTCAGACATTCCCCTGATTTCCTTCCTCCCACAGGTCTCATCCCGCTCACCAGCGATGACATTGTGGATAAGATGCAATATTCCAGAGTGAGTCACGTGAAACGTTGTGGGTGCTTATTTTGATGGTGGCGGGTATCTGATCTGATGGGAAGTATTAATTTCTTGCTGGGAGTGGTTTGGTGTGAAGGTCTTGACCCGTGTCTGTCCCAGGACTGCACGTGTGATGAGTTCTGTCCGGAGTGCTCTGTGGAATTCACCCTTGACGTCCGGTGCAATGAAGACCAGACTCGTCATGTCACATCCCGCGACCTCATCTCCAACAACCCCCGGGTCATACCGGTCAGTGCAATCCCTCTGCTTGTCAGCGAGTCGCCTCTCTACGTTCCCATTGAGGCTGGGTGGTGAACCCATGGAATGCGTACAAAACAAGGCCTTCGACCACGTTTCACGTTGCCTAAAGCCCCACTTAAAACATAGTGGGAGAGCAGGGCAGGATTATCTGCAGGAACAGCAGTGTGTGCCAGTGCTCTCCTCTTCTTCGCCTTGTTGTCCTTCCTTTGCTGTCTGATGGTGTGTCAAAGCAGTATAGCCTTGTTAAAGCCTCATCACAAGGTGATGAGCCTGCACCCCTCATCTCAAACTCTTGGGAGGCTTCAGTGCAGCCCCTCCATCTCGCCTCAAACACTTGGAGTGCATGTGCTTGTGTCCTGCTGCCATGTCACTGCCTTCTCCCTGCTTGCTGGGGCTGGGGCAAGGTCAGCCTCTTCGAAGGCTTGGCAGCAACCCAGAGGCCTCTGTTTTTCTGGTTCTTGGCGCTCAGCATGGCAAGGCATAAGGAGCCCAGCTCAGGGCACTGCTGCCAAACGGCTCTTGCTCAGTTGCCTTGGGGAAGGGTTGGTGGAGCCAAAGCAAAACAGATGCAAAGGGACTTAATGGAGAATGTTTTTAAATGCTATTGAGGCTGCATCTGGATGTCACCGCAACCTGGGGGCTGCTTCTGGTGGCTGATGACAGTGTCTGCCTGGTTAAAGCCTAGCTGTAGCCCACTGTCTCTTGCTTGCTTTGGCTGAGGTGCTGCAAGTGCTGTGTCACCTGCTAGCAGTAATGGGAGTGACTCTGGGCCACATTGCAGAACCATGCAGCAGCGCTGGGCTGGAGCGCTCTCCGTCCTGTGGAGGAGAGCAGGCTGGTGGAGTGGGATATCACCTACCTAGCTGCAGCTGCCTGAATTGTCCCATTAAATAGGGTGGGCTGGATTTGTTGCTTAAAGTCACTCTGGAGCGGCTTTCTGCAGTCTCTTAATTTTTGTAGGTGACCGCAATTTGATGCGGGGGAAAACGTTGATCTTGCTATTAATTGGCTTGCTTTTGCTCTTCTGCAGGTAACATCTCGGAGCAGAGACAACGACCCCAATGACTACGTGGAGCAGGATGGTAAGCAGCGTTTTACTGGTTATAAGACCTGGAGGAGGAAGTTGAATATTTCCTTTGGGCTCTTTGAACTCATTCTTCCTTTACTAGCTGTGTAACCATGAAGCAGCTGTAAAGATGGCAGTTGGGAGTCACTGGCATCACTGCATCAGTGGGGTTAGCATTTTGTCTTAATGCCACTTAAAGGTTATCCTCAGAACTAAGGTTCTGTGTTAGAGGGTGCTTCTCACTCCTTGTGAGAGCTTAGAGACAGCAAAGAGGCCAAATGCTGTGCTGTCCGCTCTTGCCTGGGGGCCTGAGCTGTGCTCTAGGCATATGTGCAACTCCTTTTCACTTAGGACGATGTTTCCCAGTTACTCTGGGGTCACAGATGAGCCCCTCTATGAATCCAAGCAAGCCCTGGCTTCTGGTGACGTCTTCCTGGGCACTAAAAATTCCTGCCTTTGCCCTTGTGTGATCCTGCATGCTCATTTCTCATCCACAGCCTTCTCAAACACGCGTGTGCTTTTCTGCAGACATCCTCATTGTGAAACTGCGGAAGGGCCAGGAGCTGCGACTGCGAGCCTATGCCAAGAAGGGCTTTGGCAAGGAGCATGCCAAGTGGAACCCCACGGCAGGTGTAGCCTTTGAGTACGACCCAGACAATGCACTGAGGCACACCGTGTACCCCAAACCGGAGGAGTGGTAAGTCCTAATGTCTGTCTGGAGAGACTGGAAAAGATTTTCCGGCAGGCACTTACGTTTCAGCCCTGGGGATACTTTGGATCAGTAAGTGATCATGAGCGTGCCTGTCGCTTCGCCTTGCACAGACTCTGCTCCTCTGTTGGGGCACCAAGGCCAGTCCCTTGGTTGCAGCTGCATGCAGGGTGGACTGGTTTGTGGCCTCCTCTTGTCCTCTCCTCACGTACTGTCACTGCTGTTTTACCTCACTCGCTTTCATGTTCTTTCCCACCACTCGTTCCTGTTTTTTCTTCCCTGCAGAAGTGGTACGTAGGTCAGGGTAAGGTCTGAGGAAGGACTAAATCCATGTGAGGGTGGAAGAGGTAGCTATGAGAGCAAAGAGCAGAAGGTGAGGTTGCAAGGCTGATTTTGCAGCCCTGTTAGTTTGAGGGAGCCCAGCGTGTGGCTCTCATTTCACCCACACATCTCCTCACTCCTGGACCATGAGCTCTGGCAGCGGGCTTTTCCTCTCTGGCCCTTTCCTCTGCTCTGACATACCATTCTGCACTGGTAGCATGCTGTGTCTCATCTAGAAGTGGCATGATTTTTCTTTTGGAAAGCTGCTGCCCTGCTTTGGCCAGGGCGAGGACTTTACCTAGTCCTATCTACTTTTCAGTGAGTAGATTCCTGAGCTGCTCCTTGCTCTGCATCCCAGTGACCACCTAGCAGACATGCTGTCATGGAGCACACTGGAGCCAGCAGCAGAGCGAGGAACTGGGTGCTTTAGTCAAGGCAGGCTGAGAGCGAGGACTAGAGGGGTAGGTGGATATGCTGCCGTATCAGCAGGGCAGCAGCCAGAGCTGCTCTCAAGGTCAGGAAGACCTCAGTACAGGGGCAGGATTTGGTGCAGGGATTGCAGAAGCCAGGGCTGAGCAAGAGGGAACAAAACCCTGAGCAGAGCTGCAGCTGGAGAGAAGGCTGAGCGGCAGAAGGGGCTCAGCAGGTTTTCCTGTCACCATCAGGCTCCACACTGCCAAATTTGACTCTGCAAATGGCGGCAAGCAGTAGCAGGCAGGTAGTGGGCTGTTGTAGCTCCGCACTGCCCGCTTCGAGCCTGGGTGCTCAGACCCATCACAGAGTGGGGCCTTACGCTGTCCCTTGCTAAGTTAGCTATCAGTAAACGAGCTTCCTGGAGGTGCAGTTAGCCTAAATTTCACGCCTCAGCCGGACTGCCGGGGGCTTTCTGCTCAGGAGCTGTCACAGAGATCCTGTGCGGCTAGGTTTGCACTCAGGAGACTCTGAGAAGCTTTTTGTCGCTGAGGGTGGAGATGCAGGTGAATCCGTAACGTACATGAAATAGGCTGGGATCTGCCCGCAGCCATCCCAGCCCTGTTTTACCGATGGAAAGAGCGAACTCTGCTTGGCTTTGATGGGCTCTACAGGGCGCGTTCGTGGGTCCGGTTCAGTCAGTCTGGGTGAGAACACGATGTGCCAGGCATTCGCCTCCTTCAGCACTTCGTCAGGGCGGTGCTCTGGGATCTGCAGTAGGAACCAGGCTGGCTGGTAGTGCCAGAAATCTGGAAATGGGCATTTTCGTTAGCGTTGATGATCTGTACACATGGGCTGAAGCTGGACTTTCGGAACTGCCAGCTACAGACCAGGCTGTTAGGGGGAAAGTCCCTGAGAGGCCGGTTGTGGTGAGGCAGTGCAGAGCCGAGGAGGATGCTGCTGAGCAGTTTTGTGGTCAGGAGCATGTCACAAGAATTGATGTGCCAGCCTGTCCTTCGTCACCAGCAGTTTTAGGGATGGAACTGGATAGTTTCAAAGTTTCCAAATTATTCGTGGCAGCTACATTGCCCCAAAGTTCAGTTGATTGTCTGGGTGATAGATTGGATGCTTGAGAAGCAAGAATGTCTCTGTGATGTGGAATTTCAAATCAGGATTTTAAATCATTTTAGGCTTCATTTTGGTGCAGTAAAAGTTGTCTGGTTTAATTTCTGTAACGCTAGATAGTAAGTCTTCAACACTGATGAAGTAACAGACCTGGAATACTGCTTTGAGTTGGACAGACAAATGCCAGGCAGGATGAGGTATCATTGGGTTTGCCTTCTTTTTGGTTGGGGAATGTCACAGTGTGAATTTTGGAGAATTTGGGCTTTCGGAGATGTCGATGTCGCAGAGAACAGCCCCAGCTACATGGCTGAGCACATGTACCTCGGCTGGGTGGCCCAAGGCAGCTGCTAATGTGGATTCTTGTGTTCGGTGTGGCAGAGTTGGCTGTGTCTTCAGGAACCTGGTGTGTTGTACAACAAGCTGGGTACCTGGAAACAGTTTTTGAGAAGTTCTTGACAAAACGTATGCAAAAGTTGGAAAAATCCCAAAGAAAGATTGCCGTTGGAGCTGCCTGTTTCCTAATGATACATCTGTCTTTCCAAGTTCATCTGATTCCCTGTGAAGACAATGCAGAGACAAAGGCCTCTGCTGTCCAAGGCTGGCTATTATTTTTGGTTTGGTTTGACATGCTGGTTGCTTTTTGAGGCTGTTGGCAGGGCACTGGCATGCAGCTGGACTCTAAAAGCAGCTGTCGTGGTAGTGGAAACCTCTGCCCTGTTTTCAGTCATGAATGGTTTTGCAAGTAACGGGAACACCCAGCTCCATTAACACTTTATCTCTCTCACTGGTTTGTTACAGACAGAGGATTTGTTTGAGAAGTGCTGTTTTATTTAAGGCAGCTGATGACAGGATCAGCTCTCTTGACATTGCTGGGGCAAAGGGAGGCCAGCAGGAGACCTTGGTGGGCACAGGATTTTCTGTGCTGGCTTTTCAAGGCAGCTCAAGGCTTTGGGTTTTCTTACATGGATTAAGTGCTTCCAGACAGTCTCTCCAGTATGATGCTCTAGAAGTCAAAGGAGGCAACGGGTGGAAAGATGTGTCGGCCTAGCTGATGCACGGGTATTTCAGTGATTTTGGTAGCAACATGTGTAGAGGAGTGGAGGTGCAGGACATCAGGGCAGAGCTCACTAATGCATCTATTGTCTGAAGTACAAGAGATTTTTTTTCCTGCTGGGCACAAGCTGACCGGGCCTTCCCATCTTGGCTGTGCTGCACAGGCCGAGTGCTGGAGTGCTCCAGTGTTTTCCTGCCCTGGTGAAAAGTAGAAAGAAAAGATAACACAAGGTCCATTGCTCCGCAAACAGTGTCCGGGCTCCATAAGCACAGTCCCTTCAGGCATTGGGATCCCTTCGCTGTAAGCACATCCCAGATTGTGGCAGTGTAGGTGAATGGAGCCACAGGACCCTGCACCGGGCTCGCTGAGTTTGGGCAGAGTGAGGCTGATCCTCTTCCTCCAGTGCTGCTGGGTGACTGTGTGGCATTCATGAAGAGCTAGAAAGGGCAAAGTGGGACGGAGCTTTTTTCTGGGATTTGATATTTGATGACTGCTCCTTTGCCTACTGGACGTGAGCCCCTGTGCTCTCTACTGGGGCCAAACAGTGCTGCAGAGTGCCTGGGCTCCGTGGGGCCAGGCTAGAGCATGGGCTCCCTGCTAACCTTCCTTGCTCTTTGATTCCAGGCCCAAGAGTGAGTACTCGGAGATTGATGAGGAGGATGCTCAGGCTCCCTATGACCCCAACGGGAAGCCAGAGAGGTAGGAAGCTGAATGCTTGGCCGCAGCTGGAAAATGGGGGAACCAGCTGGGTGCATCTCTGTTTTTTGTTAATACACTGCGCTGCAGTTTGCCAGCCCAGGGAGCTGGTGTTCCCTGAAAAGCAGGGCAGAAGTTGGAGTTAACTGGTGATATGCCCAGGGCTGGCAGGTTTTCCCCTCTGGGACATACTAGACGACTCTCCTGAGTTGGTGTTATCAAGTAGGGCAGTGCAGCACTCGGTGAAGTGTGAGGCCTGCGGGGGAAAATTACTTAGGACATTTATTCACCCGTGTGGGTCTCTCATGCTGTCATGCTAGCCCCTCTCCCGGGTTATTTGCACTGCAGAAGTGCCTGCAGCCAGTCTGACTGCTGGCGTGAGGCTCTGTGCTGGCTCACAGGTCAAAGCACTGAACAGAAGAGAATCTCGGAAGTGCTCTTTGCAGCCTGTGGAGTTGTGAGTGTCGGTGGGACGGTTGTAGAGGGGCAGCGCTGGCTGTTGCCCGGTTGGGAGGTGAATGATGCTGATGGTTTGGATTACCCACAGAGCTCCATGCGGTGGGTCAGGACGGGCTGGCATTGCTTTGGGGGTGCTCTCTGGTTCTGCACCTCCTTGCAGGGTAGATGGTGACTTATCCCCGTGACTTGTTATCTCAGGTTTTATTACAACGTGGAGTCCTGCGGTTCTCTGCGCCCGGAGACCATCGTTCTCTCTGCGCTGTCTGGCCTGAAGAAGAAACTGAGTGATCTTCAGACCCAGCTGAGCCACGAGATTCAGAGCGACGTCCTCACTATAAACTGAGGTGGCCCCTTGAAAGAGAGTGCTCAGGCGTGAGTGATGCAGAGGGTTCCTGCCTCTGCCTGGCAGCGCTCTGAGCGGAGGCTTTTGCCTCCCCATCTCCCTCTGCCTTTTCTGGCTCAGCTCTGCTGGTGGGTGACACCTCTTCCCCGGCTCCCCTTCCCAGGGAAAGCTGTCACGATGTGTAGGGCAAAGGAAGGGAATCGGTGAGCGTCTTCTCTGAGACAAGCTTCGTCTCTAAGTGATCTCCCAGAGTTTTTGGCCAGAGTTTTGCATTCTGGCCATGTGGCATGATCGGGAAGCGTGTACCTCGGTTACACAACCCTACCTTATTTGCATGTCCGTTCCATACTGTGCTGAATAAAGCTTTACCCCCCGTGTTCTGTCATCCCTGAAAGCTCGTCCGGGGTTGCAGGAGGAGATGTCACATCATTTACTTCTCTCCAATAGACATTACCTTAATGAGATCTGCTTTGGAGGGAGCATTGCTCTCTACTGCTGATTGCTGCTCTTGACATTATCTCCTAAAGAGACCAGAACCCCTGCTAGCAGGTAGCCCGTCATTTACCGACCCAGCGCTACACTTACAGCAGATGTTTGAGGCTGGGCTAGTAAGCGAGAAGGCAGTGCTGCAGGGGAGTCCAGATGGGCCAGGCAGGTTTAGCTGTATTTAGACTCCTTTGGAGCAGACTCTACCCATGCGCTCTATAACCTTTATGTTAGGAGCTGGCATGGCAGGGAGTCCATCATTAGTAACGCTTGGCTGACAGTTTCCAGTGTGCCCACAGCCCCAGAGTGGGTTGTGTGCTGGGCTGGAGCTTGGTCCCCCCTTCTTCCCTCCATCAGCGCCCAGCAGGACTTGGGATGAGCTTCTCGGGGACACTGTCCTGGAGGGGTCTGCTTCTTCCTTACTGTGGTGGCTGGGAGGGAGAGGAAGGTGTTTGTGCCACTGCGCTCGTCCCAGAGAACACGTGGGGCACAGGAAGGGCTCGAGGAGCGGGGATGGGGTGCTCGTGCTGAGCTGGAGAGAGCAGCCTGAGTCAACGCTTCCTTTCGCTCCAGGGAAGAGCTGCTGCTGCTTCAGTGTCCTTGCTGTGGCACAGCCGGCCGTGGCATGGCTCCCAAAAGCTGTCCCTGTCCCTGGAGGGAGCACTGTCCTGGCTGGTGTGGCTGTGTGGCCTTGATGGCAGCGGTCTGCCAGACAGTCATGGCACGGACAGCTGAACTGGCACAATTCTAGAAGAGCTGGGAGATGGAGTGGCTTGAAAACTCCTTCAACCGGGGATTTGGAGGCACCACTGCCCTGGCACATCCTCGGAGCTGCAGGGTGACAGTGGGATGCTGGCATCCTGTTCAATGGAGGGTGGCAACTCGCTCCACCCTTCTACCCCTCCCCAGCAGTTTTAGGGCTTCAGCTGAAATGTCCTGTCAGTGGCTGGAGGCAGAACAAAGCTTTGAGCCAAGCGCGCTGCCGGGAGCCTTGGGAAATCTCCTTCATCAGCGTTTTTCTCTCTGCCAGGCACTACTCGCACTTCCGAGCGTGTTTGAATGGAACAGACAAACAGGAAGGGTGGATAAGGGTTGTTTATTCATTGAGCAACTCCTTAAAAAAAAAAAAACAAACAAAAAACCAAACATTTTTGGTAATAAATGTTAAATCTTTTCCAGATGAGGTGTGTAGCCCGGGAAAGAGAGCAGGTTACACCTCTCACCCGGGGGAGGACGCGCTACCGGGTGGTGCTGGGGTGCCGATGAGCCCCTCCATGCCCGGCTGTGCTGCGGGGAGCAGCCCTTCTCTGTCCCGCTGTCCCCCCAGCCTCAGCCACAAACTACACAAACCCAAGACACAGTATTTACAGACCACAGGTTCCCACATCACGACACTCCCCATCCCCAAAGCACGGACCTGGAACTTTCAGGGTGGAAATAAAACCACTGACCACCCACCCCAGGCCAAACGAAGACTCCAAAGAAACACCAAGGTTGGCATGGCAATAAAAAGATAGCCCTTCGAAAGGAGGTCAATAAATAGGAGAAGTAGAAAAAAAAATCAATTGCTTTTGAGTTCAGAACGTGAAGCCCAGCTCCCCTCCGGGGCGAGGACTTTCACCCGGCTGCACTGGTGGGTGAGGAGGGAGCGAGGACGATGGGAACGCACAGCAGAAACGCAGCCCCCCCGCCATTGCCATGGGCTTCTCTGCCCCGGGGACTTTTTACGTCCACAAAGCTGACCCTTGAGGGCCAGATGCTACTGGCCAAAACCGGTCCCTGGGTTGCCCACCGGCAGATAAACTGGGGGGGCATGGCTGGGCAGGTGGAGGAGAGAGGGGTGTTGGGGTGGGAGCAGCCCGGGAAAGCTGGGAGGCTCCACTCTGCCCAACCACTTGCCCCAGCTGACCCCCCCCCCCGAGGGAAAGCCCGTTTCTCCTGAGACATCTCAATTCTCCAGCGAGGGTTTAA